GGTGGGAGCGCCGCCGCGCTCCCAAGTGGCGCACTGTAGCAGTGCGCCACCGGGCTGGCCCTTTTGTAATTTTCTTGCCTGGACAATAAAAATGGAGAGAAGCGCTGCCCCGTGGCTCACTCGGGAGAGTGCGGCGCTGAGGCCACGGGTTCGGATCCTATATATGCATGGCTGGTGCGCTCACTGGCTGAGCATGGCGCAGACAACACTGTGCCAAGGGTTGTGATCCCCTTACCGGCCAGAAAACAACAACAACAACAACAAAAAAAATCCAAATGGAGAGAAAACCTAGTTTGGGGTTATTTCCCAGGAATTCCTTCTCTCTTGAAGAAGTTGTCTCCTGGAATTAACCCTTTCTGGAACTCTCACTGCTCTGGAAAAATGGGCTCTGAGTAATCCTTTGCATCTCTGTCACCCTGGGGGAGAGGTGACAAAACAGGACAGAGCCAGGGTAGGAGCCTAGGGCACAACAATAAACGTCTCTTCCAAGTCTAGCATAGAGCCAGTAATATTATTAATAACTGTATTATGTGTGCATGTTATCTCACAGCCTACAGATTGCTTTTGCATCCATTAGCATGTTAATCCACGGTCAAATGTGCCCAGTGGCAGTACACTTCAACCTTATCCACGTGTACATCTATATGGGCAGTAAAATTCTTTGCTGAAATCAAGATACACCACATCTAATAGTGCTTTCTTGAAAAAAAAATCTTTATTGAGTAGCGATATCACAATCTATGTCTTTTCTCATTGTTTATGGGATCACGGTGAAGACAAAATCGTATAGAACCCCACAGTTAAGATTATACAAAAAATCTTTTTAGGTCAGCAGTCATGGATAAGACAGTAAATCAATTTATCTGCTTTCAGCGCATTTGAGAAGTCAAAGAGGGGATAAATGACAATTTTGTCCAAAAAGAATTATTAACTTATCCTGATGGCCAAAACATCTCTGAAATCGCCGAGCAAACTTTATCCTCGTTTTCAGAGAGCGCCTGTGTGAGCACGCAGGTCTGTCCTCCCCAGAGCCGGTCGTGGAATGACGGGTTTTACTGTCTCCCACCGTCCCACCCGCCACTCCTCGCCCTTCTGCACCTTGGGAAGGGGCTGGGAACGAAGAAACGAGCGTTAAATGGGTTCCCAGCGTTCTCGTCCCCTCTTCCATCCAGCCCTCCTAACTACCGTGTATGGTGGGTTTGGCACCCTCATTTCTAGGCAGGAAGACTGGTTCTCCAGGGTGACACTAAGTTACGGAGCTGGTCAAAAGCCGGCCTGTGCGGAGTAAAACCCCACGTGCTTCGTGCTGCTGCCGCGGGAGAAGGTGGGCCGTGTGACCTGCTCAGGTCCAGGAGGGTGAAGGAGACCATGGCGAGGGTACCCCTTCCGGGAGGGCTGCGCTGCGGGGCGGGCAGCGCTTCCCTACCGCA